TTACATGCACTACTCACGCGCTTTTATGTATACTCACTTTGATATTTTTCACGTTAACACATTGCACTATTTTGTCTTAATGAAGTCCGGCAGCGGTCTTGATGAGTTTATTACCAAGGTAAAGTAATTGTAAAAATCAGTTGGACAAATTTAATTATGATCTATTAATTGCTATTTATGTGTTTTTAGAACCGAATTTGAAAAAAGATTTGGGGTGACATTGGCTTTTKTTGCTACCCATAGTGGTCTCACCCGATGGATGGATTATGAAGACAAATCCAAGACGTCAAACAATTATAATAATCATGATAAGAAAATACCGTAAGATTTAATACTCAATAATTTAACATTTGTATTGTAAACTGTCATATATTACATACATTTTATTCAATTTATAGACATTTCATTGATGAAAACGTTTACTCTATTGAAGAAGTATGGTATAGAAGGGCGGTTGAATACAACATGGTAAACGATGAAAGCTATGTATATTCTGTACCATTTGATAATGGTTAGTATTCATTACACTTTAACAATTATATTTAATAAACTTGTATTGTACAATAATTATGAAAACCATCATTAAAAAAGTAGGAACCCAATTAACTGTCTTTAATATAAATTGATGTTTTCGCATAATCACAATAATAGGTACCTGGTACATACACTTCTCCTGTCAAAAAGTTTTTTACTTGTTTTCAAATATTTTGCTTATATCGAATACAAATTTCATATAGCTATGTGCGAAATGCGTTTGTTTAATGGAGTGTTTATGAACTACCCGAAATAAATTTATTTTAATGGTTTGAAAATTAAATTGGCAATTTTTTGAATAATTTATCCAATTTTAACTATTGTTTTAAAAAAATTTAGAAAACATTAAATCAACATTGGTAACAGCCAGTCAAGCAGTTTTCGTCACCAGTAAAGAAAATAAAAAGAAAGGTGCTGCTGCAGTTGTCGGTTATCAATTCAGACACTCAGCTCTTCAAGAATTATTTTCAAACATTACAAAACAGGTGGATTTTATGATGATATCTTAAACTATTGTAGATAGTTTGAATAATAAAAAATGTTTACAACAATAATTTTTAGTGTTACTCAGAAACTGGCTGTACACCGGAAAAGGACACTTGTCTATCCTTAGAACGAGATTGTTACATACTTGACAACAACGGTTATATTATTGCATCAGAAAATGCAATGGATACTGGAAAGTTCTTCGGTAACATTAAAGGACCAATTATGAATATGATGGTAGCAGACAAAATTTACAAAAAAATAAAAATATTTGACTACCAAGGAGTATGTTTTAAGGGAGAAAATGAAGATGATTCAAATAGTTCGTCATTTTTGTATACTGTAAGTATTCAATTAATTATTAGAATTTTGAAAGTCCACTTTTTTCAAGATTTTTCAATATTTGATTTGTGTTTGCTTATTTCTTTTTAACTGAACTTCTTATCGATGTAAAAAATGTTAGTTTTCGTTTGCTCTCTTTTAAAATTATAAGGAACCTTCATGATAGGATACATCATGAATTTTAGCGTTAACGATAACTTCTGAATCTAAATTGTCCACTTTAATTTTTTTCGAACTTAACTTATTTATATTTTAAAATTATATTAATATTAGTTATTAACGATAAAGATGATATAAAGCAAAAACGTTGATTAAATAGATGTTTATAAAAATATATAATTAATCACGTGGCGTTATAGGTAGGCTATTTAGCTACACCATTGTCATGTGTCCATTTTTCCGGTGTCTCAAAATACGTGGCCAATAAAGATTAAACATTTTTTTTTAAATATAATTATTTAAAAAATCTTATTTTGGTTTAGATTTTCAAGGATGCTAATTTTAAACACTTCGGTGCTTCTACTAGTATATACACCAATTAATAATTATTAGTTCCACTATAGCACCTTATTTATTATATTAATATAATAAAAGCTGTATACAGTATATACAAATAAAGAATACTTATTTCTATATAATAAATATTATTTTATAACTAGTTAAATAATACTGTTTTTTTTTTCGGTAGCCCATACATCATTTAAAACAATTAATTGGATGGCTAATAGGGCGTGTTTTATGGTTAGCTGCTCATTCCAATTTTCAGTGGATGATGTCTCAGGCTCAAGCCATATTCGAAGACGGTTAGTATAGTTATAGTTTTAAAAATCTTTTGCGTAGTTATTTTTTTCACGTTTTAATCGTTATGATTCTTATGTTCACTCACTTAATTTTATTGTTATTGTGRTATTTAGTTCCGGACTACCAAGAAGATGAAGAAAGTGTTTACTCTGCAGATACTTTAGCCAGYTTTAAGATTGAAGGTGAAAAAGCATTAAAATACGTTAAAATTAAGCGAACTCGACCAAAATCTTGCGATCGTTTTGTCAATTTGTTCACGCTAACTTCGAAGATGCCAGAAAAATTGGAACATAAATCTATATGTGAAAGGTAATATATCAAATAGATTTTTATCCAAAATCGGAAATGTCTAATTTTAAAGCTTAACCTAAATTTTTATCCTCTATCAGCTCGCCACCGATTTATCTAATTCCGATAAAATAGTTAATCGAGTTCCTGACAAGTACCTACGACTAATTAATAACGCACGATCAAACTATTGCTTATTGTGGACCGTTAGCGTTCAATTTAAAGGTYTGATTAATAAATAATGTAATTTCTGTAACTTYGTATCTACGACCTGATTAAATTAAATAATCATATTAAGTTTAGGAGTAAGTTTTTTTTTTAATACCTAATGTTAAGTGCTTAATAATGAATAAAAAAATAAATAAAATCAATTTTTTTGTTATAAAATAGGTATTTAAAATGTATGCATTATTAGTTATTCAAACGATTGTGTATGTGCATTAATATAAGTACTTATAATTAAATAACCTAGCTAGTTCATGACTAATTTATATATAGACAATTTTGAACATTTCTCGATATTTTTCCTCTTCAAAGAAAAACTATGAATCATAAATACTGTGTCTGAAGTATATAACCATTAACCATGACAACGAAAATCTAACGAAAAATCAGTCGGAAACACTGTATCGTGTATCCAGCCTAAAAACATATTTATATTCAAAACATTAACTCCAATACGTGGATCGGCGTTTTTTTTTTTAAATCTTAGGCTTAGTATAAAATGTTGGAAATCTCGCTGTTCTTTAATAGTTCTATAGAATGTAATACTACACCAGTTGAATAAATAATACGGCATTATARCCATATAGATAAAAATAACAATTATGTATATAACTGTTTTTGTAATGATTGAAGTTAGACACCATCATAATTTACAAAGCAAGCAATGTTTACAAGTTATACCTGTCTATACATTATTGTGTTCAGAGAGGTGGGGGGTTGACCGACTGTCGTCGTTTGATAGTAGGTATACTTTATTTTATGAAAAAAACACTTCCAAAAGAGGGGTCTAACTCTTATTTATTTATTTATTTATTTATTTATTACCTTATAATTTTTATTAATAGTAGGTACCTACTATTAAAGAATCAAAAATTGTATACAATGTTTTCAAAATAACATTTTTTTTTTTTAAATTACTAAAAATAATTTAACCATTTTTAGTTTATTTGTGTATGTTGATGGCACACTTAAATAACTTTAACAAAAACTAATTTTTGAACATGCATCATCAAATATGTGTGGTATGTTTAGTTTTGTTTAAAAATTGTTAAATTGTCCTTACCTGCCTAAAAAAATAATAGCTATACCTTCCACCCCTTCATAGGATTTTTTTCATAACTTAAGGTATTATACCATCATAATATGACGTCGGTCTGTTTCACCACCTAAGACACATTGTCTGATTATTAACCACGAATAAAATAATATCTATCTAGGTATTTTAGTAAATATGTTGCCTGCTTGGCCAAAATGCTGTTGATTTCGATCAGAACAAGACTTAATATACCTAGCCCAATATAGATGAAATTTAAATTAAGTTTCACAAGAGAGAGAAMGAGAGTTACGTTTAATCTACAATCATATGTATTTGAAGCTATTTCTTAACTCTTAAATATCTAATCCTACGTGTTATATATTTATGCCTATAAATAACGCCTCATACTATATCCTATATGATATTTGATTTTAACAGGCCTTATGACTTTCGAAAAATAATGAACACCAACCTTATCTTACTGGTCGTCAATGGACATTGTCCAGAATCAACGAAATCCGAAAATTTTGATACCGTGCCAGATGAAGTTGAATATGACCAGTTCAATAATTCGTTGAATTGTCACAAAGCGTTTTATAGTTTACCACGACGTAGACCTAAAACCGCTTGTATTAGGACACATCCAGACGTAAGTATATTCCTATATCCCAGTAGTTCTCAACCGGGGTGACATGTCA